CCTCCCTGCCAGCCCCCGTCCCTCATGGAGCCAAACTCTATCCCAAGCCGCGCCGTGGCCAGGTTATAATTATCCCGCGTGTGATTTATGGGAATAATATTCTCCCTGCTGCTGCTAAGTGGGTTTGGTGCTGCCGTAATTTTGTGCAGAGCTGTAAATGCTGTCGGGAAACATTTCTCCAAGGGAAAACGCGCTCGGATGAGGCGCACGTGACAGGAGCTGCAGGGCTCCTGCGGGTGCTGGCAGCGGGGATCTGCTCATCTTATTACCCGTGGGTCTGAGCTGAGTCTGGGGGTCTTGTGGGGAGAGCTGGAAAACCAGGGGTGGGAGCGACATCCTCTGTTAGAACAGAAATTAGAATAAGATCCAGTTCCAGCAAAAATCTCCTGCATCCTTTGAAGGTGCTGGCACAAACCCGTGGTGCTATACGTGGTGAACTCCGAGGCTGCTTTTCCTAGGATGTGCGTTAATATGGAGCAAATCACGGTTTAGATCTAATTTTCTGTTTATGGCTTTTGAGGCCCTCCGTTTAAGGTGAATTGTGCTCCGCTCTCAACGTCTCTGCTGGTTCCATTCACGGGAGAGGGAGGGAGCCTTTTCAGCGTGAATAAAGGTATCTCAATCATGTAATTTAATCCCCAATTCCCCTCGGAGACACTTCCATATAAATAGCCCCACCGAAGGGAATCGCTGCAAGGCGCGTGCCAGAGCTTGCTTTCCCATTGACGGCTGCTGGAAAAGCAACCAGCGCTTTTTCTGCTCTCTGCAATAACACGCTTTAGCAGATCTTTTATGAAATATAGCTAGAGATCTAAACTGTACATGCAAAACCTGGCCTGAGAGAGCAGCGCCGTGTTTGCAAAGCCCGGAATGGGCTGGAACAACGTGTTTACAGCCGGGTTTTCCCTCCGGGGCGGCCTCCCAAGCAGGGAATGCTGCTCCCCGGCTTCCCGCGAGCCTGCGAGCCGCTCCGAGCCTGCTGGGAATACCCAGGCCCTCCTTTGCCCGCCAGCTCGCCCCAGCGCTTGCACTTGCACAGTTTGAGGGCTTTCAAACACCAGGGATTTGCTTTGCAGCCTCTGCAAAAGCAGAGGCCGTGGCCCCCGTGTTGCAAAGGGAGGAGTGAGACGCAAGGGGGTGCAGCGGGGTGCGCGGGCAGGAAAGCAGCCCCAAGCCCCCGCTGCGGTGCAGAGCTCACTTGGAGCTCACAGAGCCCTTCCCTGCTGCCCCCTCAGGGGCAGGGACCACGAGAGGATTTTCCGGGGCCTGGCGGAGCCGGCCGAGCTGCCCAGCTGCCCTGCAAAGGAGCTGGGCTCTTTTCCTCCATGAGGTGCTGCTGGACGGGAGCCGTGGGATGCAGAGCCCCCAGGTCCTGACCCATTGACTAGCGCGTCCCCGTGTCCCCACGTGTCCTCAACACGGCACAGTCGGGGCTGCGAACACCTTTAGGTACATCCCATCTACGCCTGACCCTGTGCGGCTGCTGGCAGAGATGCTTCTGAAAACCAACTTTTTCTTTTCCTTTTTTCCAAAAAAGAAGACATTACCTCCCTGAAATTTACACACTAGGTCAAGCATAACGCTGAGTTATCTCTGCTTTTTTTTTTCCTACCAGGAGCTCTCCATCCATCTGCCTGGGGGTGCAGCGCCCGCCTCGGCAGCATCTCCGTTGCTGTCAGACTGTGCTCATCCCCCTTGACATTTAAGGGGCCGTTACACACTTACTGCCGCAGCCTCGCACGTGGCTCCTTACACCAATTCTCCCCTCTCTTCCCTCCCGTGGTGGATTCGCTCGTTTATGCTGTTGTTATTTGTTTCTCTCGTGCAGGGCTCCAGCAAAACGCTTGCGTTGGCAGATGTGGGTTTCTGTGCGGACTCTCCCTGCAGTGCCCAGCTGTAACGCAGCTACTTGGGGCAAATCAGAGCCACCGTGTTTCTTGAAAGAGTTAGAAAATAAAATCTCATTGGCCTGCGGGAGCCTCTTTGCTGCCGGGTTGTATCGTCCCTGCTCACTCGCAGGCGCAGCCTGGCGCTGCGGTTCCCAGGGATGGATCCGCACAAGCCGTCGGATACGGCTGTGGCTCTGTCACCCCGATGCAGGAAATTCGGAATGATCTGTGAAAACACCGTAATTCAACAAGTTCTTTAAAGTCTCTTTGGCTTCTCTCCTGTTCTTCTCTGGGCAAGGTTGGAAATGCCAAGGTTGGCGGCACCCAGCTCGCAACTTCAGCAAATCCATGGCAGGAAAGATGCTCTCTTGTTATTCAGGCATTTGAATTAAACGGGTAAAAACAACAGCCAAAGAGCTTTAAACAGTGCGAATAAAAAGCTGAGCCTCCTCTTCCCACAGATCAGCTTGTGGGAGGAGCGACAGCCGGGATGGAGGTTTATCCCGAGGGGAAGCAGGAGGATTGCAGCAAGGCCTGGACCCGGTGCGGACAGCCCCGCGCACGGTGTTTTTGCCCGCGCTGGTTTGCAGGACAGGGCCCTTCCAGACTGTGACCTTCAAGACTGCAAACTCGCTCCGACGCATTAAACCAGAATCTGCTTCCTCCAGAGGGGCAGATTTTGGACTTAGGTCTAAATGTTTTTGAATCCCTCAAGCTCCACAGCTCTTTTAATTCTGCAAAGGCAAATGCGAATTTGCAGGAAACCATTTGATTCACTGGTTCATCCTCTGTTTTGGCAGCCAGCATCCGTTGAACGCCTGCTTGCTTCTGCTTTGCGGGAACAGTATAAACCACTTAAGCACACATACAAGATAGACTGATCCATAAGTGTTTATGAGCTGTTTGATTTACCGGGGCGTCTTTATCTTTGCTGAGTATCTCACAATGTCATTTATTATTTAGCCGTAAATTAAAGCGAAGAGCCTGTGATTTTCAGCAACAGAAATTAATATCCCAGCACTCCTTCGTAGCATATATATCTATAATTTACAGCCCTGAAATCAGCCAGATAGAGCCGCAAGACAATCCGCTTCCCCTTGTTACCGTCTCATTACTACTGCACGGGCGGGGAATGAAAAACAGACTCGCTGGAGAAACACTCGAGTTGGCGAAGGAGAGTTTTAAATTAAACGTCCAGCTTTTGTGGCTCTCGGGAGAACCCCTGCACGCCCTGCGCGCTGCACACCTCACTTACGGGTAATATATTGAGAGGGCTGCAGTTTCGCTCTGAGACCTCGGATTTATAAGCTCGCTGGTTCTGTATTTGGGATTAATAATAATAATAATAATAGCAATAATAAAGATCTCTCTACACAGAGGCAGTGAGTGGTGCTATGTGGGGAGCCCGGGCTCTGCTCCTTGCTCACCCGGCTGCCTCTTCCTATCTCATTTATCTGGGGACACGGTGCCTTCCCGGTGTAGCTGCCCCTACACCGCCCCAAAACCCCTTTGGCCACCCACAATTAATATTAACTTGCAAACAAGGGGCGGCAGGGGGTTGTACAGGAGCATCCCTGGGGCTGGCGACGGCCTCCTTTGGGTCTGCGCCCGCCGGCAGCCTGTGCCTGTTGTAGTGCCCTAACAGAGCCGGGAAGTTTTATGGGCCGCGTCAGGCTCTGGTTGACACCAAGGAGCCAATAATTTACAGTCCCATGTAATACAAAGGCAAAACATGTCCCGAGACACCGTGCAGGCAGCGGGGATAAATCAGCTCCAGCAGGGAGCAAACGCGAGGAGCGGAAGAAGGATCCCAACGGCTTCACTTCGGATCTGCGAGGCCCAGAGACCCCCCGAGCCCCATCTGTGCTTCCTGCATGGATCGGGTCGGAGCAGGCGCGTCCGTGGGGTGGCGGGAGGAGCGTTGGCCTCGGGGTCCGCGTGCTGGAGCGGCTCCGCTGCGCCCGTGTCAGCTGCAGCACCCCAGCCCGATTCCCCTTTACCCGCTGTAGCTGCCCGGGCTGCAGTGCAGCTGAGTTACACACGCGCTGTCCCTGCTAAAGCCGGAGTCTCATTTGTCTGGCATCAAATGAGAAGAAAAGAGGAAAGACATCAAGAACTTCAGCCTTTCACAAGTCATGCTTTCAACCTCTCTTCTTCCAAACGAGGAGGAAGTTCCAAGGAGAAAGTGCCGCAGTAGAATTCGTCTTTGTTTGGGGGAAGAAAAGCAAGCTGATTAAAAGCAAACATAAAGCAAGAGCTGTTGGGTCCCAGAGGCTCCCTTACGGGAGTTCAAAGGAAAAGGGAATAGAAATCTGGATGTCTTAGATCAAGACATACATAAGCTTTGAAGATGGTATCTGTTACGGATGAATTAAAACCCACAACAATTAGCACAGAAAGATACAAAAGTACCTGAAGAGATGGGCAAAATTGCCTCCATGGTAATCGAGCCCCTAGGTGGATGTGACCTGAAGGAGGAAAGCAGATGGAAGAACAAAACTCTTCCATAACATTTTGGGAGGCAACCAAAGCTTGCCTCTGTGTTCCTGACAGCTCACGAGTGCAGACTTCTTCTTTTTTTTTTATTTTGTCTTCCCAGCAGCAAGAGAAAAAAAGGGGAAAAAAAAAACCCACAGCCTGTATGTAAAACATGAGCCTCAAACAAATATTACAGCTATGTTACCCCATCAAAAACATTTAGCTTCAGGCTTTAAACATTTTGGGCCTTGTGATGTTGGGCCTGGACCGTGCTGAGCAATGGGAATGTTCCTGTCAGTTGCTGTTGGCTCCTGTTTTCTTGGCAAAATGTTTCCTCTTTGGTTTGCTCCACAGTAAATATGCTTAAAAATCAGTCCTGCTGATCAGGGGCCTTTGAATGCCTGCACCGTTAGTGGAAGAGGTTTGGACCAGGGAGCCACATAACGGAGGAGGGAGATGGGGCATCCAACCCTCGGGGCACAAGGTGACTACAAGGGGTTTGGTCCTGCCGGGAATGTCCCCTTCGTCCACCCACCAGAAATGTGGGGCGAGACCTCGTGGACTGCGTGGAGAGGAGGACACGGCTCTTTGTGGAGATTCACCTGTGCATAAGCACAAAACCCCCAGGGGATGTCCAGCGTCGCTCCAGTTCTCCTCTTGGGGAAGCTTGGCTTGAAGCAAGAACGTGGCCAGTGCTGAGCAGCCTGGACCAGCTTCCGAAGCCCTCTGCAAAGGGTCACATCAGGCTCCTGGTCTCTCTGGGCCACCAGCAATTGAGCTAAAAATGAGGTTTCAAACTGACAATTTCCATGACAATCCCGTAGAAAACCACCAGCCGGAGCGTTGCGCCGGGCGGCTGGAGAGGGGCTGGCAGCTCCGATAGTCCTCGGAGGCCAGCGGGTCGGCCGCATCTCCAGCAGATAAGTCAGGAAAGCGCGTTCCCGGGCGTGCACGCCGGCTGGGCAGCGATAAGGGCTTCCAGCTGGAAGAAAACAGCCAGATTCCTATCAAATAATGTGCTACAGCACACGCGCTCTGCAGCGGCGTGGGGGGCGAGCTGGACTCTGCATGTCACGCCAAGAGGCAAGTTTGGACCGTATGGATGAACATGGCCATAAAAAGCGCTACAAACTGTGCTTCCACCGTGACAGACAAAACACATTTTCCCTTTTTTTGGGGGGATTTGCCCAGGTGCAGCAGCCAGCAGCCTCTCTGCAGAGCATGACCCTCTGGACACACCACGCGCTGCACCCAGCTTGGTGGCACCGCGTGGCCCCAGGTGGCTCTGGGTGTCCCGTTGCCACTAGATGTCAGTGAAGACCACGCTGGCACCAGCTCCACGCCGGGCCGTCCTGGCAGCGGGGCTGGAGCACCAGCCCGAGGCCGGTTTCTGTTGGAGCAGGATCCGGACGTCGCCTTCCAGGAATCAGCCCAAACCCTTGCACTGTGCAAGACACATTGCAAAAAATACATCTTCTGCAATGACGTCGTATTGTAATCGATTAATGGCTATTGATTAGGAGTGATATATTTTGCTCAGGGCGCTCAGCAGCACTTTGTGCCAAGCAGGGCTGGCTGGAGCTCGAGGCTGTTGGAGGCAGGATGCTCCACCAGCTTCCCGGATTATTTTCCTTCTGTGCTCTGGGATGTGAGGGGCTGGTGGTCCAGGCCATCCGAGATGGAGCTGAGGCGCTCTGCTTTGGAGAGCCCGGAGATGCTCCTGGAGCTGCTGTAAACAATAACTGACATTAAATCCCGGTGGGATGGTGCATGGTGCATGTGCCAGGGGGGGCACCTGGGGCAGCACCTTGGCACGCACCGAGGTGATGGGTCTCCATCTCAACAGCGATCGCTGAGGGCTGCCCAGCTCGGAGCAGGGCTGACATCCATCATGGACAGTGTGGGCACCAAGACGTTATTCATTAATGAATTAGGGGAACAAACCACCCCCACGGCGCGCTCGGGCAAAACGAGCCCCGGGGGCCGCTCGGGGCTGGGGCCCACGGGCCCGCGAGCGAAGGGCCCTTGCAAACAACGGGAAAGCAGAGAGAGAAAAATGCCCGTAATAAAACTCGGCTAATAAAAGACATGACAAGGATAATAAATGTAATCTTTCCTTGGCTGCCCTTCCTGCTCCAGCATCCATCAGTTACTCCAAAGTGCTGGCTGATTTTTTCCCCCTGTTTTTCGATACCTCGTGGATCTGGTGCCTCTTTTTTCACCTTTCAAATCGTCTTCCCTGGGCTACACATAATTGGAGGGGGGTCTTTGCTGTGCCTTGCAGCCCCCTGCATCCTACTGCTCCAGGTCCTGGCTCCCAGGTTCCGTACCTCGTTCCCACAAGATCCCGATGTAGCCCTGGGATGGGCCCGGAGCACTGGCTCCCAGCACTGCGATGCACCGAACATGGGAGAATTGGTGCTAAAAACAAACACCCTAAAAATCAAGCTGGGTACTGACACTTTCTACCTGAAAGGCTTTCCAAATTCCTGTTTGTAATTGCACCGTCTCCAGCAGCTCAGGCTGTCCAAACACCTTGGAGCTCCGTCATTTTCTTCTGCAAGGGCAGCCGGGGAAAACAACAGCTAATTCCTGCTCTTAATTAAAAAAAAAAAAAAAAATAAAAATAAAAAGAAAAATAAAAGAAAAAAAGAAACAAAGAAAAAAAAACCCCAACAACATGTCAGAGCTTTTGAAGTAATTTATGATCGCTTATTCGTTTTGCCCTGGCATGGTCTCCGTGGAAATGTAAAATTCAGCTACTGTATGATTTTCTCTTTGCATCGACTGGATGGAGAAGGAGCACAGAGATTCCCTAAATTAATTATCAACATTGATTTCTTGTCTTTTTTATATTTTTATCCCAAGTCCGATCCTTCGGTAGCGGTGAAGGAGCTCAAGCACTCGGGATGGGAAAATTGATCTGGTGCTTTCTGCAAAGCTGCATGTCCAAGCCCCCTTCCCCAAAAGATGCTTGAGATGAGCATTTGTGCTCCGAGCTTCCCTCCTCATTGATTTGTGTGTTCGGATTCAGTCTGGGGGAGATAATTTAGGGGCTGAGACATAGGTGGGACTAACAGCCAGGAGCTTATTCTGCCTTTAGCATTTGGTCTGAATAAGCACTTCGGAAGTGTTTTTCCGCTAATGCCTTTAATTTTAAGGCCTCTCCAGTGTTGGCAGGGAGAGGGCGGTTCCTTCCTCTCTCCTGCCACTTGCAACACACTTAATTCCTTTATAAATTAACCGGCAGAGTGTCACAGCACATTGCCTCACCCGGCGGATCTTTATCCCGAACTTTGCCTGGCTGGTGAATGGAGCGGTGCTTGCATTTCCTCGGGGGAGATTTTCCCCGGAATGTAACTTATTAAAGCACAGCTGACTGCAGAGGAGCTGCACGTCTCCAGCGGGGCCAGGGTGGCCAGCGAGACCCCCAGGTAGCAGATAGCAGCTTCTGGCAAACCCGATAATTCGGCTGCTCTTATAGGGGCTGGTGCCAGGAAGGCAAAGCCGGGATCAGCGCTGAGCCCGGAGCGAGCGCTGGAAAATCCTGCCCCGAGGCGCCCGCCGTTGAGTCATCCTCCCTTTAATTGCTTGCAAATATTGCGCTGGCTCTCAGCGTGGGCCGTAAATTACTGGCAAATAAAGCGCGGACACTGTTTTGTGGCTAATGGGCTGCTTTCTGGGAGAGCTCTGGATTAAAGGAGTCTTTCTGCTGAGATAACAGCCGGGGCCTGCGAAGCCTTCGCTGCGCGGCACTGGGCTCCGTGGAAGAAATAGAAAGGAAAAGTCAAAAAAGGAAAATCCGCTGTTCTGCAGCACAGATTCCCCCCAAGGCTCTGGTGTTGTGTTCCCAAATACAAGCAGTTTATCCTTGATGCTCCCGGGCCTGGCAAGGGATTGCTCCCCCTGCAAGCCCCGGCAGCCTCAGCACCCAGCACGCACAGCAAAGGGTCTGGGCTCCGGTCGGGAACAGCGTGACGGCCCCAGGTGACACCTCCTCGTCCCTATCTGCTTCTCTGGTCACAGATTGTCCCCAGAGACCCTGAGGTCACATTGGAGGCCTTGGGTATCCTCTGCGTTGGAGGATGGCTCTGCTCATCCCAAACCAGAGGATAGCAGAGCAACACAATGAAGAAGCACCTCCTTGAGCAGCTCCTTGTCCCCTTTTATCCCAGGGACACGATTGCAGGTGCCCCCAGCAGAGCTTAGTGCCAGGAACTTGAGTCACATCGAACTGACCGACATTCCCGAGCCCTGCCGAGCACCCGGACATGGTTTGCACACGACGGAGGAAGGGAGAATCCACATCCTTTCTAGATCATTCTGCCACTGATACATGAAGGAAATGGCATGTTTTGAAACTCCGAACCCCTCCTTTAAAGGGCTTTATGACTTCCCACCAGCAAGGAGAAAACAGGATGCCACACGGACAGCAGCCTCTGTGGAGCCTGCTGCCTCCCGCCACGTTCCCAACGGACGACACGGCAAGCGTTAATAAAAACACAGCCCGTTTCCCCCACCTTGCTCCTTGTTCCAGGATGCAGGATTATTAATAGATGAAGTGGCCACTTTTCATGCAAAAAGGGCTCGGGGAGCGCTTTGCCCCTGGGAGCCCAACTCCTGCAGCCAGAGAAGCTTTTCCATGGCCCGGATTTCAGGACATGCCCTTGGAGAGGCGCTGGAGGAAGCTCGTCTCAGAGCTCAGCTAATTTTGCAGCTCGCTCCCCGGCCGTGCAGCGAGCGACGAACGCGGCTGAGTTGCCATCAGATAAATGGCGAGCCATTAGCTGCCTGCTTAGAGACCGTATTTCTTCCTCCTGATGAGAGCTCAATATCTTTCCAATGAGTTATTACTTGGCAATCACCAAGACCTGGGCTTGAAGGATCAAGCGATTGCAGCTCAGTAGCTGCCAACCTCCCCCTCCGGGCCGGCCTTTGTGCATGTTCACACACACATTTAATATTAGTGAGCATTTAATACTCCGGCCACTCTTGTCCAGGGAGCATTATGTTTAGGGAGTGGAAATGTCTTCCCATCATTTAATTCCTCATCTCACCCCAGGAAAACAGCAGGAAGAGGCCCTGTGGTGGTATTTGCAGTATTCCCAGCCCTTAGCCCTGAATTCCCAGGGATTAGGGAGCGGATAAGGTGCCATCCACAGCCAGGACGAAGGGCAAGCCGGGCACCTCGTCCCCAGCACACATCGTTCCCTGTCTCTCCTCAAGCAACAAATTGGGTTGTTCTTTTAAAACCTCTCCACTAACTGCAGCTTTTCTTTCCATTTCTGTTTTCTTTTCTATTGCAGTGGCCAAGTAATGGTTAAAAAAAATAAACAAACACACACCTTCCACAGATCTTTCACCTTCCCAAACTGCTGACTTTGAAAAGTATCTTGGAGACTGCAGTAATATCATGGCTCAATTTTTTTAAGTGGTTCAGATAGCTCCTGCTTTGGCAAGTGGTGCGTTTGGACCCAAGCAGGCAGAGATCACGGACAGGGATGTTCTTGGCACCCCATGGGATGGACCTTTCCGTTCATGGGCTCTTCAAAGGCATGCTCACTTTTGAACTGGAATTGTCCACCGGGAAATGACAAAACAAACAGCAATTAGACTGGATAAGGGATTTCTTAACAAAAAAATACGCCAGTGGGGCTGGAGCACATAAAAGAGCATCAGAGATATATACACACATTAAACTTGCCAATTGCTGGAGGTTGGAAAGCGCATAAGTGCAGGCAGCTGTTGCTTTTTCTTTCTTTTCTTGTTTCCTTCCCTCTTTTGCTCTTGTTCTTTCTTTTTAAGTATTTTTATAATGTTTTTGCAGTGCTCCCTGCACCACTGTGCTGCGGGAGCAGCTGGACCCGCTCCTTTGCGTCTGCATTTTGGAAGCAAATCATCCCCTCCACAGACCGTGCCCTGGAAAGCGGCACGTCCCCAAAGGGACACGCACGCGACGGCATCATTCCCAGCGGGATATTCCCCATCCTGGCGGCAGGACACCTGCACTAGTGTGACTGTAAGTGGCTGCTCTTGCCCAGTCCCCGTGTGCCATCCACAGGACCCATTCCCCTGAGATAACATGACCCAACCTGGGCCCGCAGTTGCTGGTGGTATCATAGGGCCATTTATTTTGTGCAGCCTTGCCCGAGTGAAAACACCACCTAGGCCAACTACTGTCGGGGAGTACCTGCAAATAGGAAAAAATTACCTGTGCTCAGAAGGAAAAAGAGAAGTTATGGCCTGGACTCAGCACAGTGGCAAGGCAAATAATATTCATTTCTGTGGCTGGCTGGAGGGCATGTTGCCTGTCTGCCAATAGCAGCTATTTTCTGCAATATTGGCTTTTTTCCTTTGCTGGTGGGGCAGTTCTTTCCCTCTTCAGCCTGAGCTGGGTTTTGGACTGTTTCAAATTCACATCGAATATGTTTTTGTATAAGGAAGCAAGAAGTGCATTGCTGAGACCTAAGCTACTGGAATTGAAGTGACTTGTATAAAGACACTTAGTGTCCAAGCTTGTTGTCAGCACCGTAAAGCAGCTAAATCCACCAAAGCATGAGGAATTACTTGTTAAACTAGAAACAAGGCATTCAGCTCCTTCATTGCAGGTAGCACTTATAGTGGTTGGCAAAATCAGGCTTCAATGCATGCTCAGATATGTCTTCATCTAGAGCTAACTGTTTTAAATGGCTTTATTTAACTAATAAAACCCACTTTTTATGCTGCGTTTGGGGCATTTTAGATTGAAAACCAATTTCTGTCCAAATAGACCATGGTGCAAGTGGTGAGTCCAAAATTAATAATCATCTCATAAAAAAGAAATACATCATTCCCTATGCTCCAGTATAATAAAAGGAAAAAAAAAAAGACTCCCCATAAATATATATTGAGCTATGCAACTGCTTAAGCAAATTCACATGCCTTTTTTTTCTTGTGCTTAGAAAAGAAGGGTAGACCAAATACAGCATAAAAGAGATATGACATATTAACAGTTATCAATCACAAAGAATGGTGTTAAGGGATGACCACAAGCTTCTAGAACCAGTCATCTCCTCCCAGGCATCTTCATTCCCTGTCCTCATCCTCTTCCTGCCCTAGGAGAAGCAGATCGCTCTGGCCCAGCCCAGGTGTGCAGGAAGTCACTTCCAGACAGATTTGATTACAATTAATTTAAGTGGCCATGGAGGAGCAGCTCCCTGGGCCTGGCTCTTCAGCCTGCCTCCATGCACCTTTTCTTGGATGATGAAAAACAGAGGACAAGGAGCACTTAGTCCTTCTATTGGAGCACACAAGCAAAGACTTGGTCTTGCAGAAGAATTTGGGTAAAAGACAGTCTTTGCACCACCCAACCATGGGTGGGGAACAACCCCTGTAAAAGAGGAGAACCCAGAATTGGCTTTCCTGCCCCTCCAGCATGGCCAGTGTATAAACTGGCACCTATTAGCCATCCTCGAAATAACTCCGACTTGTTTGACATAATGAGGTGATTAAATCAGCATGAGAAATCCTGTTCTGTGATGCCAACGGGACACGGTGATATAAATTACTTTCCAGATCTCAGCACAATTAGGGAAAGCAGAGGATGTGGCTGGAGGAGGGTGCACGGTGGGAGGCAGCACGCTGGCTTCACTAAGCTTGCTGCACTGGGCCACCCGCTTCCCTGGGACAGTTGCCGGGTTGTCAACAAGCAACACTTAGCTCAAGGTTTGAATCACAGAATGGCTGGGGTTGGAAGGGACCTCTAGAGATCATCTAGTCCAACCCCCAAGACCCAAGAGAGCAGGACAGCTCTGGGACAACTGCTCTGGCAGCACTTGCTGGTCCAGCAGTTGACAGCGTGGTTGGATATGCGATAAGGTCCCCTCGGTCACCCCAAGGGCATTTCTCCAAAATACATCCAACTTGTGAGCACCTTCTATCACCGGTGCTGATAAAGAGCACCCATGCAGCCTCCTCAGACCCATACCACCTGCAGCTGGCGTAAGAGGGACAGTGGCCAAGACACAGCTGTGGGTCACCAAAGCACGTATGGGAGAAGGTTCTTCTGAGACATGGTGCCAGCACCATGCTGTGGCATCACTGAAAGGGATGAGGCAAAGACTGGGCCCTACCAGAGCAGAAAAGCAGACCTAGGAGCTCTGTGAGCAGCTGGGGGAAGGTCCTAGCCCTGCTCCCCTCCAGGGCTCAGTGTCACCACATCAGCATGGACCAGCAGTGCTGGGCCAACCTGCCTTCAGCAGGTTGAGCCGTGCCAGTTGCCTCCATCCCCCTTGCGCACACTCCTGGGTGATTTTCAGCAACCTTCAGAGGGTTGTCTCTGCTTGGGCAACCCTCATCTCTGATGATTTGGTGCCTCTCCGCCTCCCAACATGCAAACGGAGAGGTAGTAAATCTTTGTGGAGCAGTGATTCACAGCTAGACATCACAGGCGCTAGAGATGATGAAGGTTTTTGAAGTCCAATAGTCCCTAAACACTTCAAGGTTCTGCCTTTGCCTTTCCACTTGGTGCTTCAGGTTCCCTTCACCTCCGGAGAAGGATTTTGTTGAGGTCTAGCACAAGAAACGGTCACTTACAAAATTTTGTTTTGCTCGTTTGTCTCCACCTTTTCAAGCCCCTTTCTTGCGTGCTCCTTCAGCCCGATTCCCAATTCCCTGAATTTATTATCACTATAAAACTGTCGCCTGCTCCACAGTGCGCCCTAGACGCAGGCCGCACCTTGAGCCTCGGGAGGCCTCCAGCGTTCCTATGGCAACAGGAGGAGAGTGGATCGTTTCAGGCCACTTGGGGAGGATCCCCGAGCGGGTCGGACGGTGCCAATGGTGCTGAAACCTTCCCTGGAGGGTGCGAGGATGCTGGGAGAGAGCAGGGAACAAATGACCGCAGGATGGATGGGGCGCAAACACATCTGCCCGTCCTTCTCCAGCCCCAGGGCACCGCTTCCATCACAATGACCAGCTGGATGGCAAAAAATACCCCATGTCCTCATTGCTAAAGCATCTTTTGAGGCCAAATACCTTGGTTTTAGCGTGGTTAACTCTGGGACCTCTATCGCAAAGGAAAACACCTTGAGCGGATCCGTCCTCTCTGCACCTGCCATCCATGCAACAGGAAGTTCCTTGTGCAAAAAATCTCCTGCCCTTAAAGCTATTACTAGACATTAATGCCATTACTTCCATTTACTGGTGTTATTCTCTTTTAATTCTTGATTAATCAATTCCCCAACAGCCACTCCATCAGTTTGCCTGGGATCGAAGTGGAGCTGACAGCCCTGTAATTATCCAGGTCATCTCATTTATCCTTATTAAATGTCAACAGGGCTCTCACCTGGGAAATCAATGGAGGAGATTCAGCTCCCGCTTTTCACACAGTCACTTCTGGTTTGTGTTTTCTGCCCAAGACGAGGCCCCTGCAGCCCCCGCCAGCCTGTCCCTGTTCCCAGGGGTGGCATCCGTGCCAGGCGCTTGGAGGAAACCCCTCCTTGGCTTCCACCCAAGAGCATCCCAGTGGGATGTGCCCTGTGCTCCGGTGGAACTGCCTCTCCTGCAACCGGACCAAGGCAAAACTCACACACACGAGCTGTGCCCAGCGCCACAAAGCTGCTCCCAGAGCATGGGGACAAGCAGGCCCAGTTCTGGAACAGGGCTGGGTCCTCCCAGGCCAGGCAAGAGATGGGAATGGATGCACAGCCCTGCTCTTAAGATGGTTTCTCTATCTGGCAAGCTGGGGAAACCGTTGCAATACCTTTGTATTTTACAGATTGTAAAATTGCTAAGTTTTGAAAAGGGTGCAAATGCAAAACAAAAACCAGCAAAACAAACAAACAACAACAAAAAATACAACCTGAAGATGTTTTCTCCAGCAGAGCAGACCTGCCAGCTCCACACAGGAGCTTCCCTGGGCTGCAGCACTCAGAGTGCTTGTCTCAGATGGACCTGCTTTGCCTTTTCATTAATCATCCATCTAAGAAAGCAGCAAATATTTTTCTGCATTATGCTTCAGTGAAGGAGGGAGAAAAAAAAAAGCCAGAATCCATTAGAAATTCCCAGGGCAGTGACAGCAGCCCCCACAAGCACTGTCGAGGTTATACTGGCACCAGCAGCAGCTGCAAAATACAGGGCCCTGCTCCGAGCTTGGCCCAATACCCCTAAGGAAGGGGCAGGTATCACCCCTTCGTCATGGGTATCGGGGTGTTAGCACAGACATACTGCAACATTCCCACAAAACTCTCCATTCCTCCCTGGAGACCGCCATTTTCTTTCAGGATGATGCAAGGCTGGATTAGGTTCCTTGCTCAGCATCTTTATTTACAGAGCTAAAAAGACAAGGCACCGAGTTTTGAGAAGGAAATACATATATATTTTTCAGATTCGTCTTCTGCCCTAGACAAGCAGCTCTTCAAAAGCCAAAGCGCCCAGCAAAATTCAGGTCAGTTTTGTGAGATTAGTTTGAAAAAGCGGAAAATCATTTTGACAGCTTCAGACTCCCCTGCCTTGGCATTTTTGGCGTACGGTGTCTTGCAATGACTTTTTGTCTTTATAATCTACTAAAATAAAATCAAAGTTAAGCCCCCGATCAAACGCTCTGAGTGATTCGCTGCAGCCACGGTAGGCAAGAGAGAGGTCTCTGGCCTAGACTGCAGCCCTGTCAGAACCGATTATCTGGAGCAGTTAAATCATTTCTTGTCTTACAAATACTCTTGATTTCAGCCAAGTTCCCTTATATTTCCCACCCAGCTGATACAATCTTGAAGGACAGGAATGGTGGTTATGTTCCCATTCAGGGAATCGCTGATGAAGGCAGGCGGGAATGCAAGTATGGTCTCCATACAAAATAGGACTGTTCCCAGCCTGGATACAAGCCTGGCTGATATCGTACTCAAAGCTAGTTGCAAATGTTGCCATCTGGAGAAGGTTTCCTATTTTGGGATGCACAAGCTGCCACACCAAGGAGACACATTTCTGGGGATCCCAACACCTCCCCTGGCACCTGCAGTTCAGTTGAAACCTTCTCCCATGGGTGGAGAGACCCATTCAGGGGCATGAATCTGAATGGCAGCATCTCCACCAAGCAACTGCTCTGGGTGCTGCCCCACCAAAGGAAGGACCTGGATCAATGCTCTGCCAACATCTTGTCTTATTGGGTCAACCTTGTCTCAGTGATAATTAGCCATGATTCACAGTCATGCTCTTTGCTAAATACATCCGAAAGAGCACGAGCTGGGGCTCTGCTAAGCACGGAGGTAGTGCAGAGGGCCAGACCCAAGTCCAGGGCAACAGGTCAACCTGCCAGCCAGTCCCCGCAGACCCTCAGCCCAGAAACTGCTGTGTCCCCATCCATAAGGATGTCAAGCAGGGTTGCACTCGCCCAGTCTGGCTCCCATCAAGACCAGCGCACAACCTCCGCACGCACGGGATGAGCAGGACTGTCCCCAAGGCCGCTCACCTTGCCTTTGCCGCAGAGCTTGTGCGGCCAAAACAGGCGATAATTTCATTTCCCTTGCAAATGAAGCCACGTTCCTTCCCTGACCTCGTCCCCAAGTGCCTGATCATCAGCACAGTCACTTTTACAGGTCTCGTCACTAGCCTTCATGGCCTCCTCATCGCGTTTCAATTTGCTCAGCCAGCCCGAGCAAACATCCACTTTTGTTTTACAAGGAACTCCAGCCTTTGCTATTTTCCTGCCACTTCCCCTCAGCTGGCTGGGTAGACAGGTTTGCTTCCTAATGAAGTTACTGCAATTAGCTATTACTAACAACAAGACAACAACTTGCTTGTGCCAACAAGCACGGTTCGCTCAAGCTTTATGCGATGCCCGACTGTCTCCCAGGCACACCAGGTGCGGCCTCATCGCCTTTGCCAATTCATCACCGTTTCAGCCTGAGCTCACTGGAAATGTTTTTTCCTCTAATGGGCAGTTTTGCGCTAAAATGCGATCGATGGCCTGCAGGTTTGTTGTGGATTAGCGGCTGGATGCAGGGCTGGGGCTATTTGTTTTCTTTTGGCACATCTCTTTCCCCTCGACCTCCTCTTGTTGGAGCTGCAGGTGGGTTTGAAGGCTAGGATGTGGGCCTCAGTTTCCCCAAACATTCACTCAGGGACAACAGTGCTCTGAAATGTCTTTGCACCATAGGCATACGAGGGTATTTCTTTCCATTTTACCTTGGTTTTCCAAGGTCTCACTTTTCTAAGAGGGTCCCTCCTTGGCACAGGTCCTCCTGGCCACCATCGGCACACAGTGTCCCCCAGGGCCAGGGATCTGCTCCTGCTTCCCTCTGGCTCCGCTTTCTGCGGTGCGGATCGACCCCAGCTCAGCCAGAGCAAGCCTAGACAGCAGGCAGAATCCAGCACAACTTTCATTAATTTCTGATGAATAATTAAACCCTAGGAAGTTAATACTTTTTTTACTTAAAAATTCCAATTGAAATGTTTGTAATTACTATTTTATTGGAGCATTAAAAATTAAAGGGCATCCCGAGGTTGCAGTCAGCACAAGAGCCACACATAGCC